GCGTACATTTTTATCTGTAGCTGTAGCTCGAAAATGGAGCATTTTTCAGCTGGATGTTCAAAATGCCTTTCTCCATGGCGATTTGGATGAAGAAGTCTTTATGCGTTTTCCTCCCGGTTTCTCCCAAACCAAGTCTGGTCACGCCTGTAAGCTTCAACGTTCACTTTATGGTCTCAAGCAATCCCCACGAAATTGGTTTGCTAAGCTTCGTAGTTCTCTCCTCAGTTTCGGCTTTGTTCAGTCTCGTGCTGATTATACGTTGTTCACTTACTCGACTGGTTCCCATTATGTTGCTATACTTGTCTATGTAGATGATATTTTGTTGGCAGGTAGTGATCCTTCTCTCTGTGACCGTGTCAAAGCTCATTTACAAACCTGGTTTAAAATCAAAGATCTTGGTCCCCTCAAGTATTTTCTTGGCATTGAATTTGCTCGAAGCAAGACCGGTTTGTTTCTTACTCAACGCAAATTTGCTTTGGATATTCTTAAGGAATGTGGACTTCAAAGTTGTAAACCGGTTGCTTATCCTATGGATCCCAATCACAAGCTTGCTCTTGCTGAAGGACCTCCGTTTGATGATCCTAAACGTTATAGACGTATTGTTGGCCGTCTTGTATATCTCACGATTACACGACCAGAACTTAGTTATGCAGTTCACACACTTTCTCAGTTTTTGCAGCATCCTATGCAGATACATTACGATGCGGCTATTCGTGTTCTTCGGTACATTAAGTCCAATCCTGGCCAAGGACTCCTTCTTCGATCTGACAGTGATCTTCTTCTTCGTGCCTATTGTGATTCGGATTGGGCTAGTTGTCCCTTGACTCGAAAATCAGTCACTGGTTATTTTGTTACTCTTGGACATTCTCCTATTTCTTGGAAAACCAAGAAGCAAAACACAATATCCCGCTCCTCTGCTGAAGCTGAATACCGTGCCATGGCAGCTGCGACTTCTGAGCTTATTTGGTTAAAGTCTTTTCTCAGCTCTCTTGATATTCCTCATGCAGCCCCTATGCAACTGTTTTGTGACAGTCAGTCTGCTATTCATATTGCTTCTAATCCAGTGTTCCATGAGCGTACCAAGCATATCGAGTTAGATTGCCATTTTGTTCGGGACTATCTTCTCAGCAAGACTATTTCTACTCAACATATCCCCACTAGTTCTCAACCCGCAGATATTATGACCAAAGCACTTGGATCCAAACAATTCGATTTTTTGACTTCCAAGTTGGGCATCTCCTCCCTCCATGCTCCACCTTGAGGGGGAGTATTAGAGTAGCATTAATTTGTTAGGATCCTGATTGTAACTATCACGGTTTGTTACCTTGTATATTAAAATAGATTAGCTTGATTTATGCTTTCTGTTCCTTAGTTTTAGCTGATTTCCTGATGTAAATAGATTAGCTTGATTTATGCTTTCTGTTCCTTAAGTTTAGCTGATTTCCTGATGTAAATAGATTAGCTTGATTTATGATTTCTGTTCCTTAAGTTTAGCTGATTTCCTGATGTAACCAATTGTAAATCTTGGTCTATATAATAGACCCAATTTTACAGCAACTTCTGTTAAACTCAATAAGATGGTAATCATAATCTAACGAATCTAATAGTTGAAACTCAAAATGCAATGCAACGTAACATTTGAACCTTTTTTAAGTCTTTGCAACGAGTATTGGAGTGTCGAGAAGTGTCGAACTATCGATGAGTGTCGAGAAGTGTTGGACACAATACGTCAAGATTTTTGAAGTGTCGGTGATTCATAGGATTTGTCTTCCGACTAAGGCTTTGGTCTCCGCCATCGACCGCCAGTAGCCTCCTACAGAAGCTCAAAGAGATGGACATAAGTAAAATAAAGCTGGATTTCTGCACACAAGTTAACAACATCTTCATGTTGAATGCCGAGAAACATTGGATATACCCACCGCAAGCACCATCCGATCTATCAATGTAAATGTCAGCACAACGCTAAAAGTAGAATTGGCCTTGAAGGCCGAAACATGCGTGAGGGAAAAACAAAATTTTTTGCAAGCGGAACACACATGCATATCAAGATACATACTTTAAGACGTATGTCATACCTTGTTCGTGAAAACTCAAGATGATCAAGGTAGGTCTGAAGGGTTCAGACCCTCTAACGTTGATCCACACCACCCGCGTCTAGATACAGGAACTCCTTCCAGTAAGACCGCCGATTGATCACCACAATAAGGCTTGCTATGCGCTCAGTATGTGATGCAGGAGGCTAGGTAAAAATGTTTAGAAGAGTGACGTGTTCTAAGAGAAAACCTCACAAGGGGCGCATAGATGAGTAGAGAAACGCTTGGCTTTTTCACACAAACCTAAGGAGGAACTAACTTCTCATTAAGTATACAAGAGGAGCCTTTTAAGTTTCAAAAACAAATCAATTTTTTCTCCCAAAAATCTGATCAAAAGTGGCGCCCTTGGGGAGAGAATAAGTGGAGCTGTTGCATTTCAAAAATTGCCAACAACATCCCAGAATATTCTCATGAGACTAAGCTCAAAACCTAGTCAGAAATCTGATCATGAATCATCATATAATCAGCTATATGGTGCGCCCCATATAGCCTAAAAGGTGACCAAATACATTTGAGTTAGTTGCATTTCAAACTTAAATCAACTCACTCAAATATTCTCCCAACAGACCGTATCTTCTGGAGCTGATTTTGATGATCAAATCTAGCCAAAATCAGCACCCCATTATCCTTGGATTATGTCCAAAAGATCTCCTCCTGATATGTTCCAACAAGATCTCAGCTTATCCTTTTGTTATGAAACAACTTTTCATAGCCAATTCAAATTCGAATTTCAAACATTTGAATTCAAACTTTCAAACACTTAAATTTTAATTTCAAAATTCAAATTTCAAATTTCAAAATTTAAATTCAAAATTCAAATTTCAAAATTCAAATTTCAAATTTCAAATTCAAAATTCAAAATTCGAATTTCAAAATTCAAATTCAAAATTCAAATTTCAAATTTCAAATTTAAAATTCAAAATTTAAACATTTGATAATTAATTTAACTAATTAAATTAATTAGTAATGTCTTGGACTATCCAAACCCATTACTTTGATCCATGCGCCCTCTACCCCTATCTGTGGAGTTCCAAACTACTTCTTGGGCTAATAACAATTGTTAGGCCTAATACCTTTAATGCTAGAGCATCTAGACAATTAGGTGTTAGTGTGTGACCCATTAGGTCCAACATAGTCACTGACATAAATGGGCTTGGGTCCAATAAGCCCACAACCCATCTAATGACAACACAGAGCACTAGCAATGCTTTGTTGCCCCAGAACTAGTTAGATTAATGACAACACAGAGCACTAGCAATGCTTTGTTGCCCCAGAACTAGTTAGATTAATGACTTGATCATCCTATTACACATATTTGGTTGCCGTATATATTTCCTTTCGTCTCGGTTACCTTCCCATAAAACCTAGGGTAAGGAAGCGTATCAACCCCTGCGGTTTAGGGTAAGCTTTATTCGAAATAGGGAATCTTCAATTTACAGACTCTAAAGGCAGATCATCTCATTATCTCTTTTACTATGCATAGATTCCCGAGTCCCTGTAAATGTCATCCCGATTTACAGATAACCTAATCTCTCACAGAGATTTGATGAATTCCTTCAGCTTATCACCCTAGCCCTGTGTTCTTTCAGGACAAGCCCAACAGTATACCTATGAGTCTCCATGTTTCAGGCAGACGAGGTGCACAATCAAAGCATGCCTTCTAGAACACAGTCTAGGTAATAACTTCTGGTCTTAGGAAAGACATACCCAAATATAAAGAGACTACTCTAATGATACTCTGTGTGAGAGTTCCTTATAGAGTCTCTTTGTGGGTCTGTTCAGTGCGAGCTATACCCTTATAGGTCCACCCACAACTTTAGCTAAGACATCTCCATATATGTAGCTCATGAGGTCTTTACCTTGCATTCCAAATACAAGTAGATAAGTCGTGCTAGTCTTACCCGAGATCACTTATCTCCATTCTCAGTGTCTCTAGACTAGGAACATAAAATTAGGAATAAACATGCAGTATCCTTGAATCCTCATGATCATGATCTCATCACAGATACTCAAGATATACCTATTTTATTCCAAGGGGTTTATCCAGTTACTCATATAAATATTAATAAATATTAATAGTAATATTGAGACAAAATATGAAACAGGATAAATAGTGCTTTTATTTGTGACAATATAAAAGGTTTACATATGTCCTAATCTAATCAAAAGATTGTCTCTAGGACATCCATATACTAACAAGCGCCTCGCGGCTCTCCGAGTTTGGGTCCAAGCTAACCTTTTTTTTTTTTTTGGAAAACTTCAAAAAAAAAATCAGGTAACTATCTTCATAATCATTTACCATTTTCCCAAAATTTTGAATCATTCACCCCTCTAAGTGAGGGGAGTAAGTGATAAAGAAACTTTAAGTCAGGAGGTAAGTGATAAAAAAAATCTAAATAAGAGTGTAAATGATTCAAAAAATTTATGAGGGGAGTAAATAATAATTAAGAAAACTCATAGGAGAATTTTTGAAGTTTTTTTTTTTTTTTTTTTTTGGAAAACAAACATTTTTTATGGCGGGTATATTTCAAATTTGTAACTGATAAACACGGAATGGAAAAGGGATTTAAATGGAAAATAAATTGTTGTTGTGTTTTTTTGTTGGTGGGCTCCCCTATGCCGTTACTTAGATATATTCAGGGTGATAACAAATTTTATGGATTTTTCATAAACTTTCTTCACTTCAAATTTCATCCCTTGATGGTCCCTTGATCATCTTCGAATACCTCATCAAAAGGTGCATAAACTTCAAGACAAACGTACATTGTAGAACACACCAGAAAACCCCTAATGATCCTCCGTAAAAAGATGAGTGATGAAAACGACTAGAAGCGCCTTATTATTCGGACACGTGTACGGTGGATAATTCACTTTCGCTCTCCTCTATCCTTATAAATCCAGGGTCGTGGCTTCTCCTTCAAACTCGTTCTGGTGAGTGCAATCATCGTTGTGACTCGTTCTTCGCTTACTTGTTATCATTATCTTTCGTGTGTCGATTTTCTCATCTGAAAATGTCTTGCTGCGGTGGTAACTGTGGGTGCGGAAGTGGCTGCAAGTGCGGCAACGGATGTGGAGGGTGAGATTTTCATTTGCCTCTTCTTTTTTCTAAGAAATGGAAATTTTCCGGGAAAGTTTTCTTCTTATGTCTTTTGAATGAATTTTTTGGGTACCCATTTGGTCGAATTGTACGAAAAAATGATGCTTTATTTTTCTTCTTGCATGGGTGAGATTCTGATCACTTGAACCTCATTTAGCTTCTGCGAAAAATGCTTCTTTTTTTTTCCGTGTGAACAATTTCTGGGTGTTTTGATTGGCTTTTTGGGTACCCTTTTTGTTAAATCGTAAGAAGAAGAAAAATGATGTTTTGTGATTTTGATTGCTTTTACAAAGATGGTTATGTTTCTGTTTTGATTGGCTTTTTGGGTACCCTAATGGTTAACATATGTCTAAGAAATTCACTGAGGTAATTATTTTCCGGGAAAATTGGTTGTGGGAAACTTGAAATTCACTAAGTAAGAGGTTGATTTTCCATGTGATACAGATGCAAGATGTACCCAGACTTGAGCTACACCGAGCAAACAACCACTGAGACCCTGGTTATGGGAGTGGCACCTGTTAAGGCACAATTCGAGGGTGCTGAAATGGGTGTTGGAGCTGAGAACGGTGGTTGCAAGTGTGGATCAAACTGCACCTGCGATCCCTGCACCTGCAAATGAGGTGGAGAGTGAAAAGCTTCAAGCAGAGATGGTCCTTAACCAATTAGCAGCAGGAATAATAACTAGTTAATATATATGTATGTTTATGTTGTCTGTTTTCGTGTACTCTGGTGTTTGGGAGTATTAGAATAAAGTGGCCATGTCTTATCCTTGAGCTAATTCAAATGTTCTGGATTCGTGATATGGGTGTATGTAGCCATGGTTGCTTTGTTTTATTTTATTTTATGTTTGTTTGGTTATGTATAAATTTCAGCTAATCCTAATCTCTGCTTGTTAATGAAATACTATTATATAATTCGAAGAAAGTGTGTCTTTTTTTTTTTTTCGTCTGTTACATAAGTGTTAAAGTTTTCGCACTTGAATTCAATGCTTTACAGGTTTGGCGGGGTGGCAATAATGTTGCATTTAAAGCGTCAAGGCGGGCGTTTGGTTGAGGAAATTTTTGGAATAGTAGGAAAATCTAATAGACAGAGAAATGATTGGAAAATAGATAAAATAAGATAGATAGAAAAATGTAAAATAAAGTTGTTTGGTGGGAAAAAATTTTACTGAAAAAATTAGGTAACTTTATGAAATCAACAGTACATTAAAAGTCAGATAATTAGTTTTCCAAAAAATCCCACCTTCAAATTGAGTTTCTAAACAGTGCGGATATCTATGTTTCGCATAAATCCAGACAAATTGGATAGATGAGTTTTTGATGAAAATACGTTGAAACAAACATGGTATTTCTAAAAGCAGAAACATAAATATCTACTGAAAAGCTCCTAACCAAACACCGTTGTTTCTATTTAGCAATCAAGTGTTTTTAAGGTCCGTGAAATAAGCGAATCATTATGACATTGAAATCCTTATCAAATGTTCACTATAATGGACGCTTTTTTTTTTTTTTTTTTTTTTGATAATCAGACGCTTTTTACTTTTGTTTGGAAGGTTGATAATCATTTTCCTTCTTGCTAAAGATTCAAAATAATTTTAGTGGGAAGGAATTTGGGTAGGTTGAAATAGGTTGTGTGTTTAATTTTTAATTTTATGTATAAAATAAAATTCAAAATAATTTCACTTTCATGTGTTTCAAAATTGGCAGATACATGTATCTTGTGAAGGATAGAGACGTGCGTACTGTGTGGTTATTTTTCACATCCCCAAGAAAAAAAATGGCAATTTCTTTCAGCATCGCTATCATGAATTGGAAAAATCTTTCTAAGATAGTTGGCCTGTTTCAAAGAATAATTGTCCGTCTAGATATTTTTTTAAGTAACTATGTTGGTTTGAAGAAAGTACTTTTGGAATAAGTCTTATCTATTAACTATTTTATTTAGAGAAAGTTAAACACTTTGGATAATTAAAAAATAAAAAGAAATTGTTTTCGGTTGTTGATATAAATATTTTTCAATCTCAATTTAGATATCATTCGAGGTTTAGCATAAAAAATGTATACTCTTTTTTTTTTTTTTTGGAGACAAAAAAAAAGATGCATACTCATTGAAATGCGCACTAATTGACCTTTAATCTGATAAGGAGGCAAGGGATGGCGTTTCATGTAGGAATTGCCAAGCAACTCTCGAATCATTTGCCGTCCACTTTGTAGGAATGAGATTTCTTGGCTTAGAATATTGAAAAGGAAATACTTAGCTTTCTAATATTAAAAAATTAATAACTTGATGCTCAAATTGTTAACTTTAAAAATGTTAATAAATAATAATATATTTATTAAAGTTTGTTCTCATAATAAAGATTTAGAATATAACAAATATAATCAACAATACGTATACCATATATTATATTAGGAATTTATTTTTCTCTGGCCACTTTACGTCCAGCAAATAAATTCGAAAAATCATAATCATATAAAGGTGGGTAAAAATATTAAATGCGAGGAATTATTATCAATTAAGGGTGTAAGATTTATTGCTGGACGTACAGCAGTCGAATAAATGATTTTACCATTATATTAATACGAATATAATATGAGAAAAAAATATCTAATGTTACTTTTTATAATGATACTATTTTGGGTTGAAAAATTATAAAAATTAAAATTATAAAAATTATTATAACCTTGTAATAAACTAAAATTACAATCACACTATGTTTTCTGCCATAAAACAACGCTGTTTTGGTGAAAATCAGACAAAATTATCTAAAGTAATTTTAGAAAAAAATGAACCCATATAATATATAGAGTTTGTTTTTTCTAAAGTTACTTTAAAAAAAATATCTAACATTCACCGAAACGACATCATTTTGGAATAAAAATCATGTGTTTATAATTTTAATTTATTATAGGATTATAATAGTCTTTATTATTCTAATTATTTAATCTTTCAATCTTAAAACTATATCGTTTTAGTAAATATTAGATAAAAGAATTTAAAATAACTTTAAAAATTTTATTCCCTTTTGTATATGGGAAAAATGTTTAACTTATCTGCATCTGTGCCAAAAACGACGTCGTTTTGGTATTGAAATCTTAAAAAATTATAAATATAAAAACTATTATAACTCTGAAATAAATTAAAATTACAAATACACCATGATTTTCACTCTAAAACGACGTCATATTGGGTTTACTGCAGATAACTTATCTGCAGTAACTTGCAGCAAAGGCGATTCCCATAGTAGTGACGAGCGAAATGAGAGTAGCCTTGTGAACAGCTTGATGTACAATCTCCCTTCAATCCTTTGAACGAAATGTGGCAATAGGAAAAAGCGAACCTTTGTATATATGGAAAAAGAAATAATGTATTCGAAAGCCGCTTAATATGAATTCGGCATTAATATGAGTTTGATAATGCTCCAATCGGTTAACAAATATATACACATCTTATAAAAAAACAATTAAAGTTGATGTCTTTTTCGTCTCCACTGGAAGAATGTGTCAGCACCATGCGTGAACGTGGGCGTGAAATTCAGAGGATGATCATTGATAGGATAAACTTTTAGTTCCCATCCTTATACAGCTGAGTTGTCCAGTTGATGATTTCATCATCAGAAAGATTCCTTTTTGACAAAATTAATCGGAGTTTTATATGCGGGTGTAACAGTCTAAGTTAGAATATACTGCTTTTGGGGATAATTTTAATAGAAATATATTTTTCATATTATATAACATAAAATGTAATAAAAAAAAAGTGTCTTTTATTATTTTTTGATATAAAATAAATTATTTTTTACAATACGATAAATACTTTACCCTAATTTTATAACTGTATGACAAGGTAAAAAAGGCAATATTTTTTTTTGAAAAATATTATATTTACAATTTTTTTATTTATAAACTCAATTATGTATTTTTAGAAATAGACTAGTTTAGAAATGCATTTTTTTTTTTTGAATACAAAACAAAAGTTATTTTAGAAATGCATTTCAGAAAATAAGTGTAATTTGTAAGAATTTGTAACATCCCAAGAGCTGGCAAGGGCAGGGAGTGATCGCCGGTGCGAAAGGGCACGGACAATGAGCGGCTCATGCCAAATCTTGCAGCTTGGGGGTTCATGAATGAATCGAATCAACACTCGAAAGAGAGGGATTCCAGAGACTGTGCTGGTATGGGACGGTACAGTTAGGAATGACTTATAAGAATTAATTTGTACTACCTTTTCTAACCAGATGCATCGACTTTTCGGTAGCCCAGATCGGAAGAACTCCACAGTTAAGCGTGCTTGACTTGGAGCAATTCTGGAATGGGTGACCTCCTGGGAAGTTTTCCCGGGAAGTGTGCGAGTGAGGACAAAGCACGCTGAAAAGTCTCATGTTAGTGTGTGGGGACAGTCGTTGATCCTTGCAAGTTGCCGGACGTTACAGAATTTATAAACAAAAAATTTGTAAATATAATCTATCTTATATTCTTAATGAAAAAAATATCTATTATTTTAAAGGATATAATCATATGTCATTTTAGATCATAACTGTTGATTTATGTCAATCAATAGTTATAATTTATTGAATCAAAATTATTAATTAATTAATAATAAGTTTGACCCATTAAATTTTAGCTTTTTGACCCTTTTATCCCTTATTAAATAAAAAATAACCATTTTGTCCCTGTTCCAAAACTATACCTCATTTTGCCCCTATTTAATCGATTACATAGAAAATTTAATTGACTAAGTGTCAAAAAAAATATTAATCGATTAAAAAAGTTGTTTAATCGATTAAATATCGATTTCTTCAAGAAAATTGCAGAGGAAGAACGCCCACCACCGACAACTTCATATTTGGGAAATCAGGCACAACTCAGTTCAATCATTGATCATATAATTAACATAGAGAACATACACTGAAGGAGAAAAAGTGGGAACCCGATATAATTAAATTATCTCCCTTTCATCAACAACAAGAAGGCGATTCATTATAAACGTGTCCCAAAAGTTACAAGCTCCTAGCTTTACCTTTCTTCATCGTTTTTCATCTCTATTTTTTCAAGCTTTTATTAGGGAGAGCTATTACTGTAGGAGGGACTGGAAGAAAAAGGTTATGTTTTGTGATATATGTGCATAAGAAATTAAGATAGAAAGATGACATAGTGCAATGACTCTGATGAGGAAGGGCATACGCCCACTATTACTCCTAGAGCTAATAACACCGATGAAATTCATATGAAGTTGTCGGTGGTGGGCGTTCTTCCTCTACAATTTTCTTGAAGAAATCGATACTTAATCGATTAAAAAAAAATTTAATCGATTAATTTTTTTTTTGACACTTAGTCGATTAAATTTTCTATGTAATCGATTAAATAGGGGCAAAGTGAGGTATAGTTTTGGAACAGGGACAAAATGATTATTTTTTATTTAATAAGGGATAAAAGGGTCAAAAAGTCATTAAATTTTATCTAATAAATTATAATCGTTGATGGATAGAAATCAACAGTTAAGATCTAAAATGACATATAATTATATCCTTTAAAATGATAGATGCTTTTCCCTTATTTAATACATGAAAAGGCAATAATTCACCCTAGCCAAACATATATGTGTCGTTTAATTGCTATCGTTGACCCCACCCAATAGAAAAAGGTTTTGATTGATATTGTAAATATAGATTTAGGTTTTAATAATGGAGAAGGTTATATTTACAAATTATATTATATCTGACCGGTAATACTTATCGGTAATACATTCTTGAGTAGAGTATTACCGGTAAGATATAATGTGATTTGTAAGTGTAAAAAAAAAATTATAAACAGTAATAATTACTTTTTGTTGTACCAAACATAAAAAGTATTGGTTTTATCCCTAAAAAATCGTTGAACCTTTTGAAAAATATTCAAGTGTGACCTAATTTTTTACCTACCCAACAAAAGCATTTTAGAGATTTCCACTTTTCATGGTGGAGGTTAGCCTGTCAGGTTATTTTATTTTTAATTGTTTCTAAATTTTTATTTTCGGAGGCTAAGAGATAGAAAGAATAACATCATGTTAAAAAGAATCACTTTTTTCAATGCTGGTTAAAATATTTAGTTCTTCATCTTGTTACAGCTTACAATAACACAAAGCAAACTGAAATATGTTGCTAGCTGCAACAATGGTACAATGAAAATAAATTAAAAAGAACAATTACTACAATAGATCTTAACCTAAAGGCCAAGAAAGGTACATTCAACATCATGTTAAGAATGGACTTCAAATGAGTATTGATTCTTCTTCTTTATCTTCAAATAGTTTTTTAGCAGCTTTAGTGAACAGGTTATAGGCCTGCCAAAAAGTGGTAAAGGTTAGGTTTTTTTCCACATTTTTTGATAAGCAAACTTTCAATTAATATAATAACATGCTTATATAATATACCTGCTTGGAAGAGAGGCCAATTTTCTCCAAATCATTTAACTGCAAAATGCCAAAAACAAAAGCATCACTAAAAGCATAATGCTGATTTAATTCAGTATGTCTCATATAATACTAACCGATTTTAGAGGGCTTTCTTCTCTAAGGTCTATTATGTATTCTGCCATTTTCTCTCCTATGCCCTGAAGGAATTGAATCCCAAAAATTAGAATTGAAGAAAAATTAAAGATTGGTGCAATAAATGAAAAAAAGGAAAACCATCAGATAAAGAAATAGCTATTCATATTGATCATTTCTATGACAACCCTGGATGTACCTTCAACTCTAGCAATTCCTCTCTGCATTTAAGAATACAAACCAGTGTTAAGACATTCAAAGAAGGTTCACTAGATATTCTTTAGAAAGTAAGCAAGATACAAAGGAGATGTTTGGTTCACCTGCTTGCATTATTTAAGAAATCAATGTATTCTTGGACTAGACAGTTCTGCATAAAAGAAAATTGATTATGCGAGAATGGTGGTTCAAAAAGTCTGTTTGTTAGTGGAGTAAAAAACAACTAGCTGTACCTTCAGTGTAGAACTTCGTGTACTGAATTTGTCAAGTGGAGTGCCATTCTTCTGTATCCCTTTATTAGTGGAGCAGGTTTCAGAAAAAGGTGTTTGTGTGAAAGACAATGCCTCAAGGGGCTTTTGATTATTACCATTGATGTTGATGGGGGAGAGGGCTTTTCTTAAAGGACTTTGTACCGCATTTTTACTCTCATTTGTAATTGGTGAGTTCACCCCTTTACTTAATGACTCAACTGCACACAAAAACATGTTGCTTCAAATCTTTAGAAAGCAGTTACATGAGATTATACCAAGCATCAATCTATATAACATACATACCAAAAATTCTAAAATTTCTCTATTATATTATCTAATTATGCAACTAAGTTCAAGAATCTCACAAAGTAGTGACATACCAGGTAGATCTTTATATGATTCCCATGCAGCCTTAGTGGCATCATGGTCAGTCTCTAAGTTATTATTGTCCTTAACACCACAATGTGCGCCCTGCAGAGCATTAAATATTATTATACTCAAGAAAAATGCAAAGATTTCTACAGTACGGATGAAAAACTAATATTTATGAAGACAAGAACAGTTCCTTGTTGGACTTTTCTTGCACTTTTTGATAATGCTAGTCTTTTTCAGTACTAGTGACATAGTACTTGTGTTAGTGATACTGAACTTGTGAATTGTGACCTCACTTACCTCCATGCAAGAATCAAAAGGACCCTCACCATCTAGTAAATTTCCAAAAGCCACAGCAAAGGCCCTGTTTACACAACAAGACGTTTATCAGCAACAGAAAGTCAATGAGAAAATCATTTTCCGTAATTATATCTGCAAGAATAGGACCTCTAGTCACCTTTCATTTGTATGCTGAGCATCTTGGTTGATGGCAGTTCTTCCCCCCTTCACTGAACTATTAAAGTTAACGCATCTCTTAGCAGGGGTAATGATGGAACTGGGAGTTTTTTTGAAAAGTGGAGAATTAAATGTTCCGAGTCTTTGTGAGCTCTTTGTTTTGTTTTTTGATTCTAGCCAAGCTCTCAATTTGGCTTCCATGTCAACTTTAACTTTTGGGGTCTCTTGTTTATGAGCTGAAGGTACAAAATTGGTGACATGCCTTGATCGAGCAGCCAAACTAACAGTATGAACAGATTCCTGGTATTCTCCTGGATTCTGAAATCAAAAAAACAGAAGGGCTTCAATAAAAGTTTGTATCTAATCATAGTTAGTTAACAAGTGAAGTAAACTAATAAACACTTCTCTTGGTCACTCCTATGGTTGAACAATGAATCTTCAATTTATAAGTCTCCCATTCAAGCTATTTATTGTTTTGTATGTGAAAGTCTAGTGGACTAAGAGAAAATGAGAAGGAAAGAACTAACAAATCTCTAGCTTTACCAGGCAAGCAACCATCAGTGCACGACTAGTTCCACCTAGAGAGTCCTGCAATATACGGGTCAATTTGCTTTCTCGGTAGGGTACTCGAGGTTTGTTGTTGTTCAATGCATATATAACATTTGACAGTGCAAACAAGGACTGGTTTATCTTGGCACTCTCTTGGAGACGAATCCCTTCATTGCAGGTCCTTCTATTGTCTTCATTACCTGATTCAATCTTAAACACATAAGCATAATCATAAATGCTTGCAAGACATCTAATCCATGACCCCAATTTTGAGTAGAAAGCAGTAACCTGCAAGGTCTATAAGATTCAACTTTCCACATACAGCATCTCCTGTGCCATCCACAGAAGGAGTGGATACAGATATCACAAGCACTCCATGACTCCTACTAGAGACATCATTGAGGCCTGTGTGTGCAACTTTACGTCTAAGAATTCCACAGGAGAAAACCTCCTGAAATTCAGACATTGTGTTTATGGGAACCTGAGATAGTCCCCGGAGGTGAATTTGCCCATCTTTGTCATCCCAAACTAAAATCTCCTTTGCTTTGACCTCCAAAAGGTCGTAACATCTGTCCATGTAGACCTCATAGTATGAAATCTGTGCTATGCTGCCAGTGCTTTGGCAAATAGACAGGATCATGGACATTGCCAGTGGCATCAAGCCAGGTTGTTCCTCAGTTCCCTGCAACACCAAGCATGGGTTCACTTCAAGTGCACAACACAACTATGTAAGAAACTTCAAGAAATAAAAGGAATACCCCGGTGCACAAGGCTTATAAGGGGTTAGAGTGAGGGTTGTGTATGCAATCTAGTCCTTACATTTTTGCAAAGGGACTGTTTTTTATACTAGAACCCATGAGCTTCTAGTCACAAGAAGCAACCTTAGTGCTCCAAGGCACCCTCAAGAAACTTCAAGAAATAAAAAAGAAAAAAGAAATACAACCAGGAATTTCCAATTTCAAGAATCTAAGATTGTATACACTTTTTGAATCCTCCTCACACTCATAATCTCTAGGATATTGCTCAGGAAAATAGAACCAGTACCTATGCTATTTGCTAAACATCAAGATGGTACTAATCCTCATCCTTCTAACTCTAAATTAACATTTATAACCTGGTACTACAAATTTAAAGAATCTAAGATTGGATACACTGTTATGAACCCTCATAAGTCATAACCCCCATGATTGCAACTTGCTAGACTGGTATTCTGAAAACTATGACCAGGACCTATGCTATTGCTAAACATCAAATTCTGCTAATCCTTATCCCCTTAGCTCAAAATTTACATTCTGCTCAAAATTCAAACTAATTCATACAAGTAAGTTTTAAAAAATGTAAAAAATAAAGTAAAATAATAATCAATAACAACATAGCAAAATACAGGTTTCCTTAAAGGTCACATTCACACCTGCATGGTGTATGTCTTCCCACTGCCAGTAGCCCCATAAGCAAACACCGTGGCATTGGAGCCATTGAAGATCCCTGGTATCATGGGACTTACTTCTCTGCAGAATATCTGACCCACATTGTTATCTTCTTGGCCAAAGAAAGAATCCAACTGGTAGCACTCATTTCGGCTAAAGATCAAAGAAAAACATAAAGAAACACGTACCATCAAAACCAAAGAGTTCACAAATTTCTTTCACAGAAAATAAAATAAAATAAAAAAGTTGAAATTTTTTTGAGACCTGGTTTGTGGGTCTTTGAGATAAACTGCTACTTCTTCTTCTGGGGACTCAAAATCTTGGTCGAGGACGGAAATACACGAAATTGGGTCGCCATTTTTTGCTGAGATTTCGTGAGCAAGGAAGGGTCTGACCCTCACGATGACCCTGACCTTGGAAACTGAAATGGGGTTGTTGGAGAGTTTCTTAGGGGTGCAAGATTTGACAGTTTTTGGAGTAGCCATTGATTGTAGCAGTAAAAGGTTCAAACTTTCAGACAGTTTGATTAGAATTCTCAAAAGATTATAAATGTGGGGGTGAAATCAAAGTTTAGAGGTTTTCGAAAGCACTTGACCGTTGGTTTTGCAGCAAATTTGGGAGGCACTTTTCATTTGAATTTGTCAATGTACTATGTATGGTCCCCGTAGTGGGACCCATGTATTCCTTTGATATAAAAAATAAAGGGGAAGGATATTGTCACAATCAAGTTGTGTTACTACCAAGTGACTACCAATCAATCTCACCGTTAGATCGATTATGTTGATCCAACGATTATATTTATTTCTATCTTTGTATGGTCATGATTCCTCATATTTAAAGTGAAAATATTAAATATGGGAAATCATAACCATACAAATGTGAAAATAAATATAAAGTATTAAATATGAGAAATCATGACCATACAAAGATGGAAATAAATATAACCGTTGGATCAACATAATCGATCTAACGATGAGATTGATTGGTAGTCACTTGGTAATAACACAACTTGGTTGTCACAATATCTTTTCCCAAAAATAAAATTCTTATGTAATAATTACTAATTAGTATAGTATTTATTTTTTAGAAATTGTTCGTTTATAAATTTTTTTTTACAAATTACATTAAATATATCGGTTATACATTTTTGGTTGAAATATGATCGGTCATATTTAGTGTAGTTTGTAAATAAAAAAATTTATAAATATAACATTTTTTTTTAATGCATAAAATGGGATTATAAAATCTCGACCTATGATGTTTTGGCAAGCGAGTCTCCAACAATAATAATATAAATTTTTTAGTAGAATATATAATAATATAATTTCCTTCTTATTTTACATACCTTTCATTTCGAGTGCTACTTTGTAATTAAAACATTAATAATATTTCAACTTTAAAAAAATATTGCTTGGTGCTGCTAGTTGTGGGCCGGGTCCTGCTGAGGCTGGACTAAAATTACAGCCGATCAAGTTCATTCAATGCAAGGGACACTTTAAAGTTTATCCATATTTTTATGTGTATAAAAAAGATAAAATTATTTTTTGCAAGATAAAAATATTGATTGCTCCTTTTTACTACATAAAATAGGATGCTAAAATCTTGGCCTATGATGGTTTGGCGAGCGAGTCTCCAACAATTTATGATGGGTGTTCCCTTTCATTTTAAGGTGTGATATTATATTCCAGTTTATGACTCATCACCTACTTTATTGTAAATGTTATTGTTGTAATTTAAAGTCTTGTCTTTTTGATCGAGGAAATGATTTAACCATCTTACTATAACAGGAAAAAAAAATTACAACTATCCTTTTTTCTTTTGGTAACCAACTATCTTTTTTTTTTTTGGTTGAATAACCAACTATCCTTTTTTTTTTTTTGGTACATACCAACTATCCTTTTATTAGTGTAACAATTTACAATAAAATTGTAAATGTGATTTATTTTAAAATAGTTTTAAATAATTTTCTTTGTATCATGATGTTTAAGTATAGATATTGTGTGTAAATTATTTATTATAAATAATTTAAATAAATATAAATACTATACATTTATTTACTAAATTATTTTATCTGTATATATACGTGAGCGTGCACATATGTGTATAAAAAGATTAATTTACTTCAAAATAGATCAAAATTGTAACTTTATAATAAAAAAATTTAAATAATTTTAACTTTATTTACTTAATTTTTTATTTTGATTAAATTTGCTAATTTTTTTAACTTCCTTACAAGTTACAACAAGGGCATAAAATTTTCTAAATTTTTTTCCTAAAATTTTTTTATCTTTGCAATTTTCTTAAAGAACTAAAATAACATGTCTAATGTATCAAAAAAAAAAACATGTCTATTCTTACATTAATAGATAGCGGCTACACATTATTCACAAATAAATTATTTAAACGAAGATGGTATTATTAGTACCACTTTAAAAAGATGATTTTATTTATTTTAAAATTTTTAGAAAAATATAAATAAAAACACTACATTAATTAAATAAATAATAGACTTTTATGTTGAATAAACACGGTCAAAGAATGATGATAGAAAGAAATTTATTGCAGTCTACCAAAAACAAAAGGAAATTTGAGTAGAAAAAAGTTTAAATGGGGTTAGACACCGATATCCCATTAGGATCAGGGAAGACTCCCCAATCTCTTTGAGGATTTCTGGAAGAGATTACATATCACCCACCAACAAAGTCCTCACATCAGCCAGCAGGATTTGAACCCACGCCCTTGAAGGGTATGGACCAAACTCTTAGCCAACTGTGCCCACCTTTGTTGGCTAAAAAAAAAAAAAAAAAATTTTAGTAAGTAAAAAAGAAAATTTATTGCAGAATAAGTATAACTTTTTTAATTTTTTTCCATAATACGATAATTGTTTTCATCTTTATTTGTAAGAATAATAATTTTCCTTAAGAAATAATTTTATTTCCTCCATTTCTCATATCTGACAAATTTTAATCAAGAATTATTAATCACCAAATAATCATAAATAGTCTCTTTTACTAATACAATTACTTTATAAATAAAATAAAATTATCATGAAATACCAAATTAATATAATTTTTATTTTATTTTATTCATAATTTAAAGCATTATATGTATGACTTATCAATTGTAGACATACTAACATATAATTGTATATCCATTGAGTTGAAAATAATATTTTCTCATACCAACATCTGATACGGAGTATAAATGTAAGATTTGATGAGTGGAGTCTTAATTTTACTTTTTTTGCCAATAAATTGTAAAATGTAAAGGAGCGAAACTTTTATTTAAATATTTCTACGAGCAAGTATTTTGTATATGTATGAATATTTTAAATTTATATAAATTTTAAAATAATAAATTAAAAAAATATTTAATACTTTAAGATATATATATATATATATATATATATATATAATTTAGATAAAAATTTAAAAATATACATTAAAAAAGAAAACTTAAATTATAAAAAATATGCCTAATTAATTGATAACAATTAGAATTTAAAATTTTAAAAAGTTAAGAATAATATAGGGCATTCATTCGGGAAGAGTAGACCAAAATAATAATTCATTGTTAAGATAATGTGTTCTATTTGGACGAAATCTAAATGAAAGACCTTTTTATGCCATTTTTTAGAAAGATTTTTTCAAAACTTAAAGTTATTTTGTGCTTTGATTCAATATATAAAAATTACTTTTAAATAAAAAATTATTTGAATGTTAAAATTAAAAATATTTTTTTATGTATAAAATTACTAAAAGGAACATATAAAATCAAATTCGTCATAATATTTCAATCATTTATCTTTGAAATATAGTTGTTGTGGAGGCACGGTGATAAACCTCACTTCGAGGAAAGGAACCTCCTAATAATTAAATTGGCTTGTTGAAAATGTAGTCTGTTTTATTAGATAATATTTCATAGTTTTATAAACCACAAAAGCAATCATAACTCCATAAATGCAAAATTCAGTAACAGAATCACACTCTAGCATAACTAAATGATAACTCAGAACACTCCTGATCCGGATAAAATATAGGCCAATCAGGGCCCAAAAACACATAAGGAAGCCCAGGCCCACTGAAGACCAGAACAAAGCGCAAAGAACAAGCACAGACACGATGCCCTCATCGCGTCACACAAGACGCGATACCAACATCGCGTATGAAACCTTCTATAAGAAGTAAACTTAAGGCCCAAGGCAACTCCACCGCGCCTTAACTCCAGTAAACAACGGAAAGCTCCAGCTTGCCACAACTCTACTACTAGACACTAGGGAAGATAAGGCTACTCAAGTCTCCTGACTGACCTGCAGCCCAAGGCTGGCCACTCAGAAGCCAAGCCGCCTTAACTAAGGCGGCATCTTAACTACTATATAAGCTAATGATATACCACCAAGGTACGATCATCCTTTACTTTAACAACATAAAACACCTGCCTCTGATACTAACTTAAGCATCGGAGTGTCTTCGCAGGTACCCCCCCCCCAATTTGGTGCAATGCGCCAACGTGAAGGACAAAGCTCAAGCTCGTTCCAACAGCAATACTAGGCCCAGGCCAATAACAACGTAAGGTGTCTCAACCGTGCGTGATTGGGCTCAATACATATAGGTCAGTCCATACTGTATTTGGTCTGATCATTGGCGCCGTCTGTGAGAAATCTCTCTGTTAGAACCCATCTTTCTCTAAAAACATGGTTGACACTCAAAGCAAATCCCAGAATGGCTCCAAAGGAAAGCGGAAGGAGATCCCTGCATCCCGTGAAAAATCAACGTCGTCGTTGGCACCAATTCCCATCCATCTGGATGACCCACAACGCCCCAACATCTGTTGGACCTTATCACACAACAAAACAAGAAAATCGCTCAGCAGAATCGAGATTTAGCTCGACTAAAAAAAGCACAAAAGAATAAAGAAAAAAACCAAGAAAAGGGAAAAGAAAAAGAGAAAGAGACTGAGAAGGAAAAAAATCCTGAAAATTCTGATGAAAGTGAACCACTCCATGCCCACTCAACTGGTAACCCAGGACCTTCGGGTCACAAAAACAGGAAAGGTGAATAAATAAAAGATAATCACGAGAATGAGAATTCTCATGGAAATTCAAGGACATTCTCTCGAATTGTTCACCCATTTGTCCCTTGCATAATGAACATCCCAATTCCTCGGGATGTCAAGATCACAACAGAAAAATATAACGGCAAGGAGGATCCCCAAGAACATCTGGAACAATTCCAGACAAACATGATGGCACAAGATGTGGCAGATCCAATGGCATGCCGACTGTTTCCAACAACCCTAAAGGAGACAACACTTAGGTGGTACTCAGCGTTGCCACCTAAGTCGGTGCAAAGTTAGGAGGACTTAACCAACCAATTCCTCGTACGATTTGCAACGAGCAAGGCGCAATACAAATCTACGCACGCACTAAAAATTGTACGTCAAGGATCTAAAGAAACTTTGCTCGATTATCTAAACAGATTCTTTG